TTAATGCCAACCTTGTTGTTTCTTCGTCCTTATCCTTTAATGGGCTGTCCATAATAAAACTAAATTTCACATAATGATAATTATGACATACTACAATATGTCATACTGACATACTACAATTGCTATTTTAAAATATTGTTACCTTTCTCTCTTTTGTGGACTACATTCAGGGCTAGACGGGATGGCAATTGTTGTCGTTTCAGCAGCTCTGTTCAAGTATATAATATTAATATGAATATTCAATATAGCATGTGACAGATATTCAAAGTTTTTACCGTGGCTCTTTTCGTGGACTAGTTTCTGGGCTTGACGATATGACAATAGTATCTGGGCAGGAAACGACGTGCCTTCATGAAATAAGATTACAAATATGAATCAAATTTTAAATAAAAAATATAATTAGAAAAATATGAATCAAAACTACAAATCAAAAGTTTGTAAGGGATTCCTTTTAATTCAGTTGTTTGTTTCTTTCATCCATTCGTTCTATTATTTCTTTCTCCCTCTTCTTCTCCCTTTCTTTTATTTTATGTAAAGTTCGATATCATATCATAACATACTAGGGGATAGATAGTAATACTGACATATATTGGAGAGATATTTAGTACCTTGGCTTCACAACAGACGTATTTCCAGCTGCAGAGGATTTTATCATTTTATTCAATGCTCGTCAAAAGATCTTCCCTATTGTATTTTTAATAGAAGATGATCATTCACATTTTGATGAGGTGTTAAAGCTTGACACAAATTCTGATCATAATGATTATATATAATTAAAGTCTCATGCATARTAAATCAAACCTTTAACCTTGCCTTGGCCTGTCTTCTTTCTGTAMSTCAGATGGACACTTGCTTGAACACTAGTATTTAGTGGGAAATGTTGATTACAAACCAGCATATTTTGAAAGTAGTAAACAAAATACAACTAACGGGAATAACGGAGTATAATAATGATTACTCACTTTGCACCCAAACTTTCGTCGGAAGAAGATTGAGTCGGCCGAATGAGTTGTATTATATTAAGTAATATCAATTTACTTACCATTGCCAGAAACGACTTCAGCATAAGTCCTTTTATTATTCATTTTTCTAGCTTGAAWACGCTGTGGTCACTGTGACTGTGCACGTGTATATATCTAGTGCTGTTATCTCTTTATTTCGTAAGACATTCTCGTGTTACCCAACCTGTCTTTGCGTTGGGTAATATATTGTCACATCACAAAACCAACCTCATTGAAACAAGTTAGCTAGACCATATTTTTGTACTAAATAAATTTATCATCATATCTATGTGAAGTATATGACATCCTAACACATAAAACTTGGTTTATACTACATTCAAATGCATTATTGTAGCAATGATTATAATAAAAAGTACATATAGATTATAGATTTGTACTAAAAAAAGGATTGCGTTAAGTTACTATCACGTCCATTATATCAGGTGATGACGGAAAGACTCTTGAAATTACCCCGGTATGTATTGTTATCAGCCAAAAAAATAAAAAGGTTATTTAAACTGAAAAGGCAGTACAATACCTCACTGCAGTCATACATCAATATCACTGAAGGATACCAGTTTAAATTTCTTTTATTCTTTATTATTTTATTCATTAAAATATTATTATTAAATATCATATAGCTAAAAACAGCACTTTATGAGTCCAAGGGTCCAAGAGTCCAAGGGTCCAAGGGTTCAGTCCATGTTTTACCCTATGCCCTAATATAATATAATAATGGGGGTTAAATACTGGCCATTAAAACTTTATTATTTCTATATGTTGAAGCAATAGACTAAATTCTTTGTTGGGGACATAACCTAATGAGTGTTGAGGACATTACATTTTTGGGATAGTATAGAATTATAGCAAAGAATCTGGAAGGAATAAATAACAAATATTAAAAAAGTATTCAATAGCTACTTTATGCTTAAAGAGCAGTCATTTAAGGTTGTAATTAAAATTAAAAAAATGAACATAGCAAGAAAAAAGGATTATTCATTGATTATTCAACAAAAAGTTATTTATACTTTATTTTTAATCAGAATATCTAGTATATATATTTTGGGGGAGGGTCATAATTTTTTGTACCCGATTCAAGGGAGGGCCACATTTATTTTCTCTGACTTAAGGGAGTAGAAGAATCTTGTAATTAATACGTTGACGAACAGGGTGCCAGTGTAGATCTTTTAGTAAAGGAGTAATGAAGTGAAGTGAAGTGATTATGAATTTTATTAGTTTTAAAAATACTTGTTATCTTCGGATTAATTTGAGCAAATGCAGTTAAACTATGACACAAAATCAACACAGTTATTGACAAATATTCAATATTTGACTAATTGTCAACTTGACTTAAGTAATGGCCCGAACAAGGGAAGCAAACGGCAAACGAATGCAAGAAGGTGGTAATGGTGTAATTGCAAGAGATCTGCTATGATTTCACAAGTTATCTTATTTAATATCTGATTCCGACTTCATGAAAGCTACCCTGGTTCCAGGGGCTTGTCTTGAATTCTTTTGCTTACTATGTTATCGAGCCTTACTATGTTATCGAGACGTTTCCGTTGATCGCTTTTTTTTTCTTTTTTTTGTGAAACCAAGACATTCATATGTGGGGAAGTTGAAATGCCGCAGAACAATAGAGAGTTTGACCTCATTTKTACTTAAACAGGAGAGTTTATAGGAGACTGTAGTGACAAACTTTGCACCAGTACAGGCAGCATTTATTTAAGATTAGTATGATTTGCCCGGAGTTTTGTTGTAAATAATAATCGAGCTGTCAATGTCGACAAGGATGTATTAGCAGTTCATAAAAATCTTAGCTTAACCGATCTCGTGTCCCGAGCTTGTTTGACATTGTTGTAACAAACTACTAATACAAAAAGCACAAGCTTCATCAATCGAAGCCCAATGGGATAATTTCATCAAAAATTCAGATCGTGTTCTAACGAGAAAATCATCGATCGTAGAACGGGATGTGACAAAGTTTTGTGCACCGATCACCAAAGTGAAGCTAGCATGAGATTCGCTGCCTGAGATTCACATAGCCTGAGAATAAGATTCGTTTCCGGGGGGTACTCGCAAATTCTACTTTAAAAGTGTATTTTAAGTGAATAAAGGCCATTTTTTAAAAGAATAATGATGAATGATTGTAGATATTAGTTTGTATTTCGTCTAAAAGCAATTTACTTACGGCGAATTTCATGCGCAAGTCTATGTTTTCGAATATCAGCCTGATCCATTTAAAGTTTCTGAAATGCGCCTCGGCTTTAGATTCAAATGCCAGACTTACAGCAAACTCTCAGCTTCAGATTCGAAGCGAATCAAATAGACTCTAAACAAAGTCAATTGACTCTATTTAAAGGGGTACTTGCACGTATCTGGGAGAATTTTTTTAAAATCCTGAATCATTAATCTTAGAAGCTGAAACTTCTCACAAACAAAGTTAAATAAACGAATAACCACTCTACGAAGTTTTGTCTTGAAACTCTTAAAG